CCCATTTCCCGTGGAGCCCAGACAGCAGCACAGACTCACATCCTGGCTCGTGCGTTCTCAGTGCTGGCTCTATAGGCGCAAGAGCAGGGCCGTGCCCTGGGCCAGCCTGTTTCCTGCTGGGGACATGCAGAGGGCTTCTGTTGTGATTATTATTGCTGCTGCAGACATAGCTGCAGTGTGCCGCTTTGAACGTCTGTCTTTACAGAGACTCTCATTTCTGCAGGATGGCTTCTCAACTGTGGGGGTGACTGAGCAAAAATCTCCATAGTTTTTTATTTTAATAGATAATAGCAGACTATTTTCTTATAAGGAGTGGTAGTTCACATGCTGTTCCTGCAAATGAGAAGGCTGTTGTCTGGCACACTCTTTTCCTTATTCCCATTTGGTGGGTACACAGTGGCCCATCCTGCCCTTCCCAGGTGACCGTGACCTTGTGCTTGCCCTTGTCCCTGCGTGGATCCGTAGGGGAGGGGAGTGTGCGCCTCCCCTTCCGTCTCCTCTGCAGGCCCCCCTCCACCACGCCAGGGGGAAGGCTGGGAAGCAGTCTCTGGCCGGAGCCCTAGACTTTTCATCTTTCTTAAACTGAGACCGTCCCCCCCCGCCCCACCCCTGGACACCAACTCCCCCCACCTCGTCCCCACCTGTTGGCACTCCCAGTCTGCTTTCGGTCTTTACAGTTTGGCTGCTCTGAGCACTGCAGGTAAGTGGGTTGCAGGTGTCCATCCCCTTCCATCTGGCCTATGTCACTGAGCATTGTGTTCTCAAGGTCCATCCACAGTTAGCACGTCTCAGAACTTCCTTCCTGTTTTGGCTGAATGATAGTCCGTCGTGTGGACGGGCCACACTCTGTTTATCCTTCGTCAGTCGGGACACCTGGGTTGCTTCCATCTTGTGGCTACTGCAAACAACGCTGCTGTGAATGTGGGTGGACAGAATTTTAAAAATTAATTAATGTTTTAAATGACTAATTAATAGAATTTGATAATTTGTTTTTGGAATTCAGAGTGATATAAAAGCATAAAAACAGAAGACAATTGTAGATTTTGCCACCGTGGGTTGGGGGACAGTGGGCCAGCTGTACCTAAGGCAGGGATCCCAAACGGGACCCCCTCCCACACCCAGACCACGTTCAGGTCAGCCACGATTTGCCCGAAGGACCAGTGGGAGCTGAGTCTAGGGGAGCTGGGACCCTGGCTGGGTTGAGTTAAGGGACCTGGGGAGGCTGGTGTGTGGCTCCCGTGGCCACCGGACAGGCCACCAGGGGCTTGCGTCTCCAGGGTGGTTGAGAGGCTGGGGGCCACATGCCTGGACGTGTGGTGAGTGCCACCAGGGCCTCTTCCTGCCCGAGGAGCAGGCGGCTGAGTGTCTCCTGATGCTCAGACGACCGGGCCTGAGATGTGGGGCCGGGGGGGGGGTGACACATCAGAGGCGGCCTTGACCTGCGGTGGGTGCAGGGTGCCCCAGACCACAGTGGGGGGCTCAGGGATCACGAACACGGGCCCCCCCGTCCGTGATGGGCCAGCCCATCTGGGTCGAGGTACAGGGCCGCAGGAAGGGTCCCCCACACCGCTGTGTCTGCCTTCAGGTGGGTCCCACATTCTGAAGCCTCCAAACGTAGGAACCTCACCCAGACCGCAGGGGCCTCGCTCCAACCACACCGGACCACAGACTGCAGGCACCTCCGTCCACACCGAACCACAGACTGCCCGGGCCTCCGTCCACACCAGACCGCAGACCACTGGGGCCTCTGTCCACACAGGACCGCAGGCCGCCGGGGCCTCCGACCACACCAGACTGCCCACCCACTTATGGCTGAAGTCCCAGGTCCCACCCCCAGGGCAGCCCCGCCTCAGTGGCCAAGCCTGGGTTCCCTTGGAGACCCTCGGCCACAGCCCCACCCTCCCCCAGCAGACCCAGCAGACCCCGGGACCTGGGGCTCCTCTGCCGGCTGCCCCCGCCCCCCGCCCCACCCCAGCCCGGCAGACTGGGCCAGGAGGGCGCAGGTAGCCAGGCGGGGGAGTGTCCTGCCGGGAGGTCTCCAGCGGGGGCGGGGGGGGGAGGGGGGGGCGAGGGGGAGGGTGTCCTGCTGGGCAGAGGGGCTCCAGGGTGGGCTCGGCTGGCCGCGCAGGGAGGTCTCCAGCAGGGGTGGGGGGGGTGGGGAGCCCCGCGAGGCCCGCCCCCCTCCCCCCCCCCGCAGCTCTGGAGCGTCGCAGACGCCGCTGCAGGGACAGGCCCGCTGGGCTGCGTGGGTGGGGGTGGGCGCGGTGCCGGGAGCCGGGGCGAGCGGGGACGGAAAAAGTGAGTGGGGCGCGGGGCCGCGTTACGGGAAGGCGGATGCGCAGCGCTGAGCGCCGCTCTCGGTCTCCCTGAGCTGGGCTAGGCTGCCAGGCGCCGGCTCTGCCCGCCCGCGGCCGGGCCGCTTCCGGCCCCCCGCTGCCCGCTCTTTTGTCTTTGAAATCTTTCTAGTATCAGTATGAACGCGTGGTCTTTAATCCTGCTCAGAGTGTGAATCAGGGAGATGTTCAGTGTTCACTGTGGCGTCTCTGACGCTCAGGTGGCCCCATGGCTTCTGACCGGGCCCCAGCCTGCTCTGTACCCTGGGCTGGGTCCCCCCTGCACACGGTGGCCCAGAGCCAGTTCGCCCAGAGTCCAGGCCTGGCCGCCCCTCCCGCCCCACCGTCTGCCCTCAGCACGGTGAACCCCTGGGGCTTCCGTTCCTGCCAGCCCACCCCGTCCCCCGCCTCCGCCCGCCCAGGGCACACTCCACTAACTGCTGAATAGCAGCCGTTCTCCACCCGCGACACCAGGGCCTCTTCCCGGCAGGGTCGCCTGGGGTGTGAGCAAGCTCTCCGCGTTGGCTGGTTCACAGGTGTGCTTGTGACCTGCAGTTTTCTTATTTTGAGTGAGAATCAGCATCCTTTCCCTGTGTGCACGTGTGTACATGCGACGCAGGGCTGGCGTGTGCATGTCATTTGCTCCCCTACTTTTCCCCTGTATCTTTGACCTTGCTGTCTCCTGTAGCTGGAGTATTAGCCTCCTGCGTGATATTCAAACACTGTCCCCAGTGTGCTGGTGAGGATGTTTCTCCCACGCTGCAGGGTTTCCCCCAGCTTACACTTGAATTTCCCCATCTTCTCTTTCCGGCACCTTGGGAAGCCATCTCCGCCCTCCCTATGAAGTTCTGGCATGTTTTCCTTCTGTGTCCAACGGGACTGGGACTGATGGAAGCCCAGGGCGAGAGAGACCGGTCCACCTTAAAACTTCCCAGACCACCAGGAAGAGCCCGCAGTTCCCCGTGGGCCCTATTTCTGGCTTTTCATGTGCTAATGCCACTGCTTTAAGGACCCCGAGTTTCAGATCTGAGAACCCTGCCCTTCTTTCACTTTCCTTTCCTGGATTTCTCGGCTGTTACTCGCCTGTTTGTTTTTCCAAGTGAACCTTACAGTTGCAGAAATGTGGGTTTTACTGGGATCGTGTTAAATTTGGAGGAACTGACGTCTCAGACAGTGCCACGCCTGTGCTCCGCGCTGCCCTTGCGGCTTTGCGCTTTTCTCGTGAAAGCTACGCCCGGGTGCTGTCGTCGACGGAATATTCTCTATCACTTTTTCTTCAGAGTGGTTCTTGCTGGGTGTATGAAAGCCCTTTATTTCTGGATGTTAAGGTCACAGCTGCCACGGACTAGGTTCTCCTGTTGCTGGAGCAGTTTCCCCACAGAAACTGCCGGGTTTTCCAGGCAAAGCTTCCCAGGCCGTGTTCCCGCTGGGGTCTCAGCCGGGTTTCCTTCCCCCGGCCCGGAGAACTCTGGGGGCGGCAGGCACAGGGTGTGGGCTTGAGGGGCCTCTGTGCTCTGGGCACAGGGTTGGAGGTGTCCGTCCTGCTGGTCAGGGGCATCCCCCGCCAAACAGAAATGGACTGGAGCTGCCCGCTGGCTTCACGGGGGGCCTGTGAGGCTGCAGCAGGACATTCAGGCCCAGCTGCTCAGTTGGGGGCCTGCGGGGGGGGGGGCAGGCTGACGGCATGGGGCTGGGGGCAGGGCCCTGGAGGCTGGAGGGGGTCCTGTGGGAGGGCTTTCAGCTCGCAGGCTGCAGTGTGAGTGTGGGGGTCGGGCCCTCCAGGCCTGGTGTTTTCCTGGGTAGTGTGGTGGGGGGCGCTGTGTCCTCCACCTTCCCTCCAGTCTGCAGCCCTGCCCAGCCCCTCCCCACTCCTCCCCCAACAGCGAGCAGGGAGACTCCGGGCCTTTCCTGAGTGTTCTCACTCTTTAATTACAGTGTAACAGAGGACGGCACTGTGTGTGGACCCCTGCATGGGACACACGCCCCCCACCCAGGCCGAGCTGACCCTGGCCACACGGGAGGGGCCTTGCCCCAGCACCCTGGGGGAAGCCTGGCTGAGACCCCTCTGGGTAGCACCGTGAATGGGCGTTCAGGAGACGTGGGGATGCATGGAGACCCCGCGCCCCCAGGAGGGTTTCGGCGGCTGACTGCAGCTCTGCCAACTCCCTTCATTGCCTGCTTCCTGGGCTGCACGAAGGCCTGGTGTGTGTGTGGGCAGAGGGCCAACTGCCGCCCTGGCTCTTTCCGGGCCTGGGGGGGCCTGACCTCGTGCACATCCCCATGCGCCCCTTGAGTGACCCAAGTGCTGGGCCTACCGGCCTGCGCCACAGCAGTCTCCGGGCCCCAGGCTCCCCTGGGAGGCAGTGGGCCTGTGTAAGTGGGGCTCCAGCCAGCTCAGTCCAGGGCTGGGCCTCGGTCCGGGGCGAGGCTTCCTCCCTTGCCCTTAGGGACAGTGATGCTTCCTGTCCCCGGGTCGCTGCAAGCATTGAAAGGGGAGCCAGGCAGGGCTGGTGGGTACAGGCAGGTGCGGGGAGGTCCCCTGCGGGCTGGGCTCAAGCCCTCGGTGGCCTGTTGCTCTCCTCTCCACCGCATACTTCTCCAGGGAAGGTGGCCAGCCGTGGCTCTGGGCGGAGGGTCTGGAGGACTCTGCCCAGCCGGTGAAGCTGGTCAGAGGGGCCAAGAGCAGTGTCCATCCTCGGTCCTCAGAGGCCAGGGCCCCTGCGGGCTGTCGGCAGACGCCCTGCGGCCTGGGAAGACGATGGTGGCGTACTCCGTCTGCTCGGGGACGCAGGGAGCCGCGGGCTCCGGGGTCTTCTCCCGCCACTGGAAGTCCAGCTCCCCGTAGTCCACTGTGACGGCCGGCACAGAGGGGGAGCCCTCCTTCTAGGGGAGAGGGGGGAACGGTCATCGGTCTCCGAGGGCGGACACACACACACCCCTTCTGGGGCTGGCACTGGTGTTGGGTGAGGGGCGTGGCTAGTCTGAGGCCTCCCCGCCCCGAGTGCAGCTCTGCCCAGTTGGCCAGTTGACCGTGATGCACAGGGAAGGACACTCACCGGAAGCTGGTCTTGGCTCCTGCGGGCGCAGCCCCCTGCAGAGAAGTACCCCAGTCAGGGGGCCCCAGGCCCTGCAGTAGTGAGCTGGGGCTTCGGGGGTCCCTGGGCCCCAAGAAAGGCACCGGGTCCTCCGGCCTCCCCCCTAGACCCTCAGGGCCCCCTTGGGACCTGAGCTGTCTGAGCCCCAGGGCCCAGCGGGCTCCCGGGCATCCCACGCAGCCCAGCCCAGAAGCCCTCTGCCGGCCCCGTGGGGCGCATCGTGGGCGTGTCATCAGTGGTCCCCGCACGTCCCCACACACATCTGAGGGAGGGAGGTGCGGTCCCCTGGCGAGACGACACCCACGCGGGCGCGTCACTGTGGCTGTCACCCTGGGTGCCCGGCGGTTAGAAGAGCTCAGTGCCCTGGCTGAGGTCCAGCCCGGGTGATGGCCGTGGTGGGGGTTGCCTTCCCTCCCCCCCCTCCCCGAGAGCAGGCCCAGGGGAGGGCAGCACCGGGGTTTCCAAGGGGACCCCCGACCCTGGAGGCCCAGTCCAGCCCCTCCCTGGGGGGGGACACAGAGGGGATAGGAACAGGGCAGGAGGTGAGGGAGGGGGCAGGGGGCAGAGCCTTCGGGGACTCGTCACCTCGAGTCTCCCCGAGGAAGACCGCAGCCAGGACCCAGATCAGCAGCAGCAGCAGCAGGACCCCCAGAAGGACGCTAGTGACGCCGATGACCAGGCTCTGCATCTGGCCTTCAGGCTTGGGCTGGGGGCTGGGGGGCTCCGTGGGCGGCTCCAGGACCCCCTCTGCAGGAGGACAGGGGTCAGAGCTGGGCACCCAGCGCCCCACTCCTCCAAGTCCTACGCCCCCACACGCGGTCTCCAAGCCTGGCCCTGGGCGGGGCTTCCGAGCACAAGGTCACCCTCAGAGGCCCTGCCGCCAGCCCCTGTCCTCAAGGACAGTGGGTCTGGGGGTGCTTCCAGCCGTGGAAGGCAAGGGTGGGGGTCACCACGGTCCTGGGTGGGGGACCGAGGCCCGACACGGAGCCTGGCGACCCCGAGGCCACCCTGCCGTGGCGGCTCCCACCCCAGCCCCGGGGCCTGCCCTGCGCTCGGGTCTCCGGTGCCCACACCTGTCACTGTGAGCTCCGCGGGGTGGCTCTCGTTGATCTGCGTCCGGGGGGGCAGGTAGATGGCCCCGCAGAAGTAGACGCCGCTGTCGTTGCGCTGGGCAGCCACGATGTTCATGAGGAAGTGCTGCCCACCGGGCAGCGGCGTGACGCGGAAGCGCTGGTCACGGCCGGGCTGGCTGCGGTCCTCGGGGAAGGCGGCCAGCTTGTCTGTCTGGTTGCTGGGGCTCATGCGGTACCAGTTGAGGACGAAGTGCTCCGGCTTACTGGAGAAGCTGCAGGTGAAGGTGGCGTTTGCCCCCTCGGGCACGACCAGCCGGGCGGGGGAGAAGGTGAGGGTGCTCCAGGGCCTGCTGGAGGCCTCTGTGGGGAGAGCGGGCGTGAGGTGGGCAGGGACAGCCCCTGGCCCCGGCCCCTCACCTTCCCTCAGCCCTGCAAACGAGGAGGCTCTGCCGTGTGCTTCTGCCCCCACGCCCTGCTCGCCCCCAGGGACAGAACATGCGCCCCTGGGATGGGATGCTTGCCCTTGGGACAGGACGCTCTTCCCCGGGACAGGACGCTCGCCCCCGGGGACAGGACTCTCACGTCTCATGGACAGCTCCATGGTGGGACCCTGTCCTCTAACTGCACTGATCTGGGGCTGGCTCTGACCTCCAGGCCCTCATTTCTGCCCCCCCCCCCCAGGTGGTAAGGGCCCCCACCCTCTCCCTTGCTGAAGCCTAGTTGCCAGTCCCTGCAGGTCTGACCTGCACAGTCCCAGCTCCAGTGCCCTGGGTCCTCCCTGCTCTGAGCAGGGGAGGGGTGGGTAACCACTGGGGGCGTCCCGTGGAGGGAAGCAAGCTCCATCTCAGGACAAGCTCATTGTTGGAACCCCGCTACCCCACGGCGGGCGCTGCTGACCAGGCAGTGAGTGAGAGACCCTCTGTATCTTCTGCCACAACTTGGGGGCTGGTGCTCAGAGGCCAGCGGGGCTGTCACTCACCTGAGGATAGGTCTGAGCTCTGCCTGCACGCCCCAAAACAGGCCCGCCATGGCCTGCCAGGGCCCACTGAGGGACACCCCCAAACCACGTCAGCCACCTCCTGCCAGGGCCCACCGGGGGACGCCTCACCACGTTCAGGGACCAGCTTGCCAACACACGCACACATGCACGTTGCCACGCACACGCGTGGGTGTGCACACTCTCACAGGCTCACACCCACTCGCTGGCTGGGATGACACCCCTCCTGGGAGATGTCCACCGCACCCCCCTCAGGGTCAAGGCTGACGTGGTGCCCCCTTCTCAGGGAGGGGCCCTGTGGCTGGAGGGTGCAGGGTGGCTCCTGATTTGCATGTGGGACCCTGAGGACTACGGTGGGGAGCGGCGGGCCTGCGCTGCCCGCTCTGGACCCAGCTCTCCATCTGCGGACAGCCGCCCCAGCACCGCCCTGCCCATCCAGGCCCGGGGTCTCCCAGGCCCTGTGGAGGGCGGTTCCTTGTTTCTGTGGAGGACCCCCCACCCCACCCCGCTGCTTTAGGTACAAGTGAGCACAGATTCGGCCAAAGATGTGTGGTGGTGTTGGTGTGCCGAGCCGAGAACTCTAGCCCTCCTTCCGCTGGCCCAGCTCATCCCTGCTCTGCACGTGGCCCTTGGTTGCTGCCCCCTGACTCCCACCCGCCGCCAGCCTGAGTCTGGGGCCACACGGACACCCCAGGAGCCCTGTTCTGGGTGGCGGTCCCAGACTGTGCCCCCACCTGCCGCACCCACGCCACCTCTGGTCCCACCTGCCGAGGCCTTGAGTGAGCCTGCTCCTGCATGCACCCCCAGCAGGCCCCCCTGCTCTGAGCTCCTGTGTGGACATTTGCTGGCGGGCCCTGTGTCTGGGGGGGCCTGGCCGCCTTCAGGTCATGTCCTCAGTGGCACCCCCAGCCTGAATCGGTGACCAGCTGTTTGCCCTTTGTGGGGCCTCATGGAGTCGGAACTGGATGAGCTGGACCCTGGGCTGCCCGGCCTTTCCTCTATACAGCTGCCCTCGTCCTGCTCGGGCCCTGGGATGGCCGGTCCCTGCTGGTGGCCGACAGGGCCCTGCTCTGTCTGGACCATGTGGACCCCCACCGCCTCTCAGCCCGTCCCCCAGCCAAGCCCTGCCTCCGCCAGGATGCCCACCCTGCCCTCACCGGGCCTTACCCCGCGGCTGGAGGCTGGGGCCGGAGGCCGCTGGGCCTGAGGCCGGGTCAAGGGTGGAGCCCGTGGGGCAGTGAGGGGGGCGGCCCGTCCCCTCTGGGTGCTCAGGACCCAGCTCCGAGGGGTTGCTCGCCTCCCAGGGCCTTGGCTGTCAGGGGCCCCGGGGGCTGGGCCAGGATGTGGGGTTACAGAGCGGACCCTCACGGGGTACCTGGCGGCCCCCAGAGGGAGAAAGATGGGCTTCTCCGAGCAGGAGTCCAGAAAAGGCCGAGAGCAGACGGAGGCCTGGGCAGGAGCCCTGGGTGGCGAACAGCCAGGGGGCCTGGGCCCTGCTATGCGCGCGTCCCTGTTCAGCCAAAGTCCCTGTTCAGCCTTGGCCTGTGAGGCGGTACCGAGCTTCCTCTCGAGTCCAGGGGGCCTCACTTTATCCTTTCGGTAGGAATGCCTGTGAAGTCTGCTCTTATATTGTTTATGAATTGAAAATTTAAATGTTGCCTATTTCTGTAACAATGAAAAAGCTGAGCCCCAGCAGGGTCAGCGGGGAGGGCCCGGGGGAGGGGGCTGGGTGCGGGATGGGCTGTGAGCCTCGAGGTGGGCTCAGAGTGCCCTCAGAGACTGCATCTCACAGCTGCTCACTGATACTTGATTTGGGCAGTACCCACCAGTGGTGCTGAAAGCACTGCTCATGGGCTGTGGGGTCTCTGCCTCGGGTCTCCAGTTCATCCCAAAGGGATAGATGCGCCTTCCTCTCCTTGGCAGTGGACCCAGAGGGAGTGACCTCATCGTGGGGTCCCCCAAAGGTGCCCCAAGAAGGGCCAGCATGTCTGTGACCTCCTACAAGTGAATGACAGTCACGCCCTACCTGGGTCCTTCAGAAATGTCAGCACAACAAATGCTAACCCTAACCTGTAGCACAACCCAAAATAGACATGCGGGGCTGCATCAGACTAAAGAGCTTCTGCTCAGCAAAGGACACCATCGAAAACTGAAGAGGCAGCCTAGCGAACGGGAGAAAATGCTTGCAAATCATATATCTGATAAGGGGTTAACATCCAGAGCATATAAAAAATTCTTAAAACAATAGCAAAACCCCAAACAATCTGATTAAAAAATGGGCAGAGGACCTGAGGAGACATTTTCCCCAAGAAGACGTGCAGGTGGGCCACAGGGACACGGAAAGGTGCTCAGCGTCACTCATCATCGGGAATCGGGAATACACACAGAAACCACAGTGAGCTGGCCCCTCGCACCTGCTGGAACGGCCGTCTTCGAAAAGACTAGAGATAGCAAGTGGTGAAGAGGATGTGGAGAAGACTGGAAACTGGTGTGAGGTGTGAAGGCTCCTTAAAAACTAAAAATAGAACTGCCACATGATCCACCAATTTCACTTGGTTTTTATCTGAAGGAAACTGAAACACTCATTTAGGAGATACATACACCTCAGTGTTCATAGCAGCGTCGTTTACAGTAGCCAAGACATGGAAACAAGCTAAGTGCCATAGACAGAGGAGTGGAAAGAAGATGTGGTGCATTTCTACAGTGGAATACTGCTCAGCCACAAACAAGAATGAAATCCTGTCTCTTGGGACAACATGGATGGACTTGGAGAATATTATACTTAGTGAAGTAAGTCGCACAGAGAAAGACAAGTACTGTATGATTTTACTTATATGTGGAATCTAAAAAACAAAGAAACAAAAAAACCCAAAACAAAGCAAGATAAAAACCGAGCTCACGGCTATAAAGAACAGACCTGCATTTGCCAGAGGTGCATGCTCAGTCACTCAGTCGTGTCTGACTCTGTGTGGCCCCACGGACTGTAGCCTGCCAGGCTCCTCTGTCCATGGGATTTTCCAGGCGGAATACTGGAGTGGGTAGCCATTTCCTCCTCCAGAGGATCTTCCCCACCCAGGGATGGGACCAGCGTCTCCTGTGTTGGTAGGCGGGTCCTTTACCACTGAGCCACCGGGACAACCATTGCCAGAGGTTGAGGTGGGGGGAATGGGTGAAGGCAGTTAAAATGTAGAAACTTCCAGGTATAAATAAGTCCTTGGGATGTGATCTGCAGCTTGGGGACTAGGGTTAATAATACTGTACTGCATATTTGAAAGTAGCTAGGAGAGTAGATCTTGAAAATCCTCCTTACAAGAAAAAGCTGGTACTTGTATATGGTGATGATATTGGCCAGACCCACTCTGGTAATCATTTTGGAATATATACAAGTGTCAAATCATTACATGGTATACCTGAAATGAATATGATGAGGCATGCCAATTATACCTCAAAACTTCATAATTCTAAGGATTTCCATATCGAAAATAAAATGGAGATTTGATTAAAAAAAGAAAAGAAGGATGCCGGGCCCGACAAAGGCAGAGAGAGGGAGTCTGTGGAGGTCCAAGGAGGCGGGGTCCTTGACTCAGCTCATCAGGGAAGGGGCCAGGCAGAGGGCAGGCTCCGGACGCGGGGCGTCTGAACAGTGGGCCTGCAGCAGGGCCACCTCCCTGGGCCTTGGGGGAGTCTGTGACCGCTGTGTGGACCGAGAGGGCTGTGGCCTGTGCCGGCCCCAGATCCAGGCATTCAGCAGCCCCCCAGAATGCGGCCTTATGGGAAGCGGGGTCTTTTCTGGCAGGATCAGTCAAGATGTGTTGGTCTGTGGCCCCTAACCCGCTGTGACGGTGTCCTTACTGGGGAAGAGACATGGACAGGCCTGCACACGGAGCATGCTGCATGACACGGAGCAGAGCTGGGTGGTGTGTCCACAGGCTGAGGGACACCCAGCATCCCTACCGTTCCCCGGGGCCGGGAGGGGCCTCGGGAGGCAGGGACCCTGCGACCCCGAGGACCCTCTGACTTCCCGCCTCCAGAGCCGCTGGCCCACAGGTTTCTGAGGTCCACGTGGCCAGCCTGGGGCGGGGGTCACCACGGCAGCCCCAGCACACTGACCTCGGAAGCCGAGGGGCCAGGGTCGCCAGTTGGCCACTCTGGGTGCAGGGTGCTCACCGCTGTGTTTTTGTACCTTTTCTGTATCTTTCAAATACTTTTCAAGACTGTAAGTTGAAAAAGATAAAGAATCTGACTTAGAAAAAGCATATCATAGGCAGTGCCAGACAGTTCTTACAAGATGAAGTTCTCATGACACTATACAGTAGGCATTTTATCCCCAAACTGCAGGTGGGAAAATTTCTGCTCAGAGAGGTCAAGGAAGCTGTCCCAGGCTCCCCAGCACCAACCCCTTTAATGTTTTGATCCTTCCCTTCTTTGGGAGGGGACCCTGGAGGGGAGCAGGTCACCGGCGGCAAGTCACCCCCACCCTAGGCTCGGTCCTTCTTCCCGGACAACACGCACCCCGTCCCCAGCCCTCCCAGCGCTGCGCCTGGACCCCCAGGGCTCCCCACGGGGCGCCTTGTGACCACAGGCTCCTGGACCACTGACCACAGCCTTGAGTTCTGCTCTGTCCACCTTGAGCAAGGCCGGGGAGGAAGGAGAGCAGGGAGGCCTGGCTGCCCCGTGCTGCTGGCCAGGCCCAGGCCGGGCACAGACGCCTGAGGGGCTCTAGGCACTGGAGTCCAGGATGAGCGGCCAGGGGGTCAGGGCCGCCCCCATTCACCATGGCCCTTCCAAGGCCCTGGCCCCCCGAGCCCAGTGAGGTCCAGAGGACCGGCCCTAGGGCTGGCTGGGAGCCCCCTTCGCTGGTGTTCCCCTCTGGCAGGACCTGGCACTGCGGCTGAGGGCGAGGGGAGCCAGGAGGGGCGCCTCCCTGACCACGAGGCTCTGGCAGTGGGCCTGCAGGGCCTCCCGGGGAACGGCCCACAGCGCGCTGGGGGCAGGCCCCTTCTGGAAGCCCTGCGGACGCTCCTGGCCCCTTGACCCGGGGCGCCTTCTCACAGACCCAGAGGGGCATGGCCCAGGCCCACGAGGCGGTGGGGGCTGAATGGGCGTTACTGGAGCCCGGACCCCGCTGACATAATTGGAGAAACAGTGTCAGGCCGTCCAGCCTGTGCCCTCATGGAAATGCCAGTCTGTTTTCCCGCAGGAAAACACAAGTGGGCCTTGGGCCTGGGGCTCTGGCAGCCCAGTGCTGTCATCCTACGGGGAGGGCACAAGCCCCCCCGCCCCCCCATCCCTCAGGCCTCCCAGCGAGAGCGGGGCCCTCCTGCCTGCTCCCCAGCGGGGATGGGCTCACCCCTCAGCAAGGATGGGGCCCACCCCGGGCGAGGACAGGCTCACCCCGGGCGAGGATGGCAGGTGAGCAGTCGGAGCCCAGAGAGGGCCCTTCACTGGTCCGAGGCCACACAGCGCCCTGCCAGGGGCCATGCTGGGCCTCAGGGGCCCGGTCCTACTGGCCGGAGACTGCGAAGGGGAGGCCTGGCCCTGACCCGCGCCACCCAGCCCCGGCCCACCTACCTAGGAGCCATCCTGGCCAGCAGCCCAGCTGTAGCACGGCCCAGAGGAGCGGCCACGGCGCCCGCGGGGTCCCCATGCCCAGGGCGCCTGCCCGCCCGCATGCCGCTCACAGCCTCCACTGCCGCAGGAGAGGAGAGGAAGCTGTCCCGGGCTGTCGGAGGGCCCCGCCCCCAGCCCACCCCCTCTTCCTGGTGGGAGAGACTCACTCAGCACAGAAGCTGAGAGAGGGGGAGAGGAGCGGAGACACGGGCAGGAGGAGGAGGTGGGTCTGCCCCCCAGCCCAGGGAGGCTCTCGGCTCTTTCTGGGTGGCTGCCCCTTCCTGAGGCCGGGAGCCCCCTGGGCCGGGGGAGGGTCTTCTGCCTCCCTCCCCCCGCCAGCCCTGCCCTCTCTGGGCCCAGGTCCCAGTGTCCCCGTGCTGAACCACCGCCTGCTGGAGCCACTCTGCTGGGGGCAGTGAGCGCGGGGGCGGGCCCCTGCCGTGCCAGACCTCCCCCGATGGCTGTGGGCAGCCTCCCCAATGGCAGTGGGCGGCGAGGCTCCGGGGTCTTTCTTCCAGGCCTGCCTGCGACCCGTGCCTCCCGTCCTACCCAGGGCGCTGGGCCCCTCCCCACCCCCTCGGTGGTCGCATTGGCCTCGCGTGGATGGGGGGCTCCTGGGACCGGCGGGGGACGGCCTCACTTCCACCCCCAGTGCTGGGGGTGGTCCTGGGGTTTTCAGGAGCCTGGCCTGGCTGCCCAGCCCCGATGTTTGTTAAGTCACTGGGTCATTCACTGCATTTTGCTCTAAGCATTTTGTTCTAATGAATGGAAAACAGGAAAAATGAAACTGCTGATATTAGCGGTGCGGTGCGTAGGTCTCGTCAGCTAAGATGACAGAGACAGAAACTGCCTGACAGCTGGCGCTCAGCCCCGGCTCTGACACCCGGGGTTTGCTGTGAAGGGAAAACATTAAAGAAAACTGAAACAGTGGAAAAAGAGCATCAAAGACACTACCTCCGGCAAAGCGAGGTGCTGGGCGGAGGAGGCTCAGCGGTGAAGAGAGGGCCACTCCCAGGTGCCAGCCCCGGAGGAGGCCGCGGGGACAGAGTGGAGGACGGGAGGGGTCCCTGCTGACCCTGGCACCGGGAGGCACGTGGGCGCTCACAGCGGGCCCGGGGCTGTGTGTGGGGATCACTGTGTCCCCTGAGGACTAGGCTGCAGTGGGCTGTGTGGGGAGGAGGGTGCTCTCAGACCCTGGGGCCTCCTCACCACCCCTCGCCTCTGCTCCACCTGTGAGAGCCCGGCCGGTGCCTCCATCTCCCTCTTGCCCCACTTCCCTTCCTCCCTTACTCCTGGTGGTCCCTCCCTCCCAGCCTCTGCCCCCCACTCTCACTGATGCCCCAGGGCGGTGGGCTGGGCAGGTGGCCCAGACTCGGCAGGCTGAAGGGGGCTCTTGAACTGCAGGAGGGTCGGGGTGGGAGGGGACCGAAGGATGAAGGGGGAACAGACACTGGAGGCAGGGAGGGGGTACCCAGAGCCTGGGGAGGGCAAGACCAGCAGGACAACTGGGCCAGAGCCTGGGGAGGGGCCCCGGCAAGTGAGAGTAGGGGCAGGGATCCCAGGGCCTCTGGGTGCCATCCCCACAAGCCAGCTCCCGCTGCCTATCAACACGTTGTCCCCCCACACACCCAGTCCAAACACACCCCATCCCCCACCGTTTCCCCCATAGTGTCCACCCGTTCCGTTCCCCGCACTGTCCCCACCACACACACACACACAAATACATTGTCCCCACACCATCCCCACACACTATCCCCCCACAACGTCCCCACACACCGTCCCCACACCCCATCCCCACACCCCGTCCCCTCACACCATCCCCACACACCGTCCCCACGCACTGTCCCCACACCCTGTCCCCACACCCCGTCCCCACACACCGTCCCCACACACCGTCCCCCCACACCGTCCCCATACACTGTCCCCACACCCCATCCCCACACACTATCCTCACACATGCTGTCCCCACACACTATCCCCACACACACCGTCCCCACACACTATCCCCACACAGTGTCCCACACCCCATCCCCACACGCTATCCCCACACACTGTCCCCACACCCCGTCCCCACACACCATCCCCACACACCGTCCCCACACACCATCCCCACACACCGTCCCCCCACACTGTCCCCACACACTGTCCCACACACCATCCCCCCACACCGTCCCCACACACCATCCTCACACACTGACCCCGCACCCCATCCCCACACACCATCCCCCCGCACCGTCCCCACACACCATCCCCCCACACTGACCCTGCACCCCATCCCCACACACTATCCCCACGCACTGTCCCCACACCCCGTCCCCACACCCCGTCCCCACACCCTGTCCCCACACACCATCCCCCCACACCGTCCCCATACACTGTCCCCACACCCCATCCCCACACACTATCCTCACACATGCTGTCCCCACACACTATCCCCACACACACCGTCCCCACACACTATCCCCACACAGTGTCCCACACCCCATCCCCACACGCTATCCCCACACACTGTCCCCACACACACCGTCCCCACACACCATCCCCCCACACCGTCCCCACACACCATCCTCACACACTGACCCCGCACCCCATCCCCACACACCATCCCCACACACCGTCCCCACACGCTATCCCCACACACCATCCCCCCACACTGACCCTGCACCCCATCCCCACACACACTATCCCCATGCACCGTCCCCACACACTGACCCTGCACCCCATCCCCACACACTATCCCCACACCCCGTCCCCACACCATCCCCACACTCCGTCCCCACACACTGTCCCACACGCCGTCCCCACACACAGCCTCCCCCCACCGTCCCCATTACACAGTGTGTCCGCCTGTGCCCCCCGCCCCACCCTTCACTGGGACAGGTCAGGCTCTCCGGGTGGTGGAGGAGGGATGGTCAGGCTCCATCTGCCTCTCCCTTCATCCTGCTGGCTGGCCTGTCCTTGTGTCCTGGTCTCACCCCTTCAGGTTTGGGACATTTCAGTCAGGGTCACAGCGGGGCTGACCATTCCTGACCCCACATGTGACCCTCTCACATGCCCAGGTGTGGGTGCAGTGGGGCCTCTGGGGAGGCGGTCACTGCAGGAGTGCTCCAGGCGTGACAGTGGCAGGGCCGGTCCTGCACAGGGGCAGACCTTCTCAGGGACGGCATCTCACACAGCCGCCCGCTGGTACAACCAGGACTGCCATGGCTGCGGCCCACCGAGGGGGTGCGGAGGGTCCTGGTTTGGTTCCCGGGCCAGCGTGTGTGTTGGGTGCTGTACAACGTACCCATGACGGCCTGCCTCCCCCTGAGTTGACACCGGCTGTCATCATGGGACCCTTGTGCCTCTCAGAGCCACTCCCAGCTCTCTGCCCTCTCACCCTGCACCCACGCGTCCATCCTCTAGCATCTGCTTTGTCTCCATAAAGTACACAGTGGGATGGCCCGTGCGGCAGGACCCCATGGGCAGTGGTCCGCGCGTCCACGTGTCCCTGCTGGGCTCCTCACTGTGCCCCGTGGTGGGTGGGCACGCTTGGCTCTTCTCTGCTGAGGCCCACCTGGGTGGATCCAGCCAGGGGTCCGGCAGGGAGGAGCCGGCAGGCAGGGCCTGGTGAGCAGCCCTGGTGCTGTGGGGTGTGTGCTGTGTTGGCAGGTCTGTCTGGCTGCCGGCTGCTTCCTGCTGGACGGACCGCAGGAGCCCGGGGCCAGCAGTGAAGGAAGCGAAAGGGACCACAGGGTTCTCAGCGAGGCAGGCACTGGGCTCCATCTTTCGGCCTTGACAAGAGGGGCCCTAGGGTTTCCAAGGTGCGCCTGGCCTGGCTGAGGTGACACCGGAGGAGGACAGGGGTGGAGAGAAAGTGGGAAAGAAGGGCTCCTTGAATTCCTGAGAGGCCGCTGGAGCTGGAGGGACATTTCCATCATGGGAGAAACACAGGAAGCAGGGGGGCCACCCCAAACTGCTTCTGAGGGGCGAGAGGATGGTGATGTCAGCGACCCCTGACCTACACTTGGAGGGGGAAATGATGCCCCAAACCGGGAGGGTGGTGAGTTCACAGCCAGTCTGAGGTTGGAACAGGAAATGGTTAATAGTGTTTGCAAATAAAAACCTTCTGCTCTAGCCTGTTTTTGAAGCATTTCCCAGAAGTTAAAAAAGAATACTGAATTTATCTGCCCAATTTAAGAATCAAATTAAAAAATGAAGATGAAATATTTTCATCATTTATTATACACAAGACTAAAGACAGCGGGGGTATTTGCTAATGTGGTGGGGTCCCCCTTATTTCTGATTTTGCCAGAATGCTGTTAGGAGTTTAAATGGAAAATTTATATTTAAAATTTCCCAAAATGTGTGTTTATGTGTATGTGTTCAAGTTTTTGTATGTGTGTGGGCATGCATGTGCTCACAGGCAGGTATGTGCATGGTGTGTGTGTTTATGTGTGTACAGGTGTTCACAAGAATGTGTTTTGTGTGTAGGCTTGTGCTCATCTGTGGGTCAGGCTGTGTAGGTGTGTGTGGTGTGTTTGCTAGTATGTGTGCAGAGTGCAGGTATGTGTGTGTTGTGTGTTTATGGGTGTGTGAGTGCAGTGCTCACATGCGTGTGTGTGCCTGTGTGTGCACCTCTGCCCTCTCTCACTGGCCAGTCGCCCAGGCGGCTGAGGGGCAGCCCGCCAGGTTCTGGAGGCAGACCGACCGGGGCGGACGAGGAGGCGCCACCCCCTGGACGGGCTGTCCTTGCCTCGGAGCGCTGAGGTGCTCTCAGAAACTCGGAGATGCCTTGCCCGCTGCCCTTCTCCTGTGTTGCTTGATGTCCTGGGTCCTGTGGGGTCTGGGGGAGGTGCCAGCCCCTCACCTGGCAGCAGCTGGGCTGAGTGCTGCGATTTGGCCGTTGGGAAACACCGCTGGGACGGAACAGCTGGACGGGGCTGCGGTGCCTGCTGCCGGTCCAGACCCCGCCTGCTGCCTGCCGCCCCCATGTACACACCTTGACCGTGTGCTGGGGCTTGGGCCCTCGGGTGGGCCGGAGGACCCAGGATTCAGGGAGTGCACCCCTCTGCGGAGGTCTGGGGGCAGGGGGAGCCCGGCATGCACTGAGAGAGGCTCTGCCCCCGGCTCTCTTCTTGGTTGTCTGTCTGTCTGTCTGGCTATCCTAACCTGTCTGCTGCCCACGCCCAAGGTTGGTGGAGCAAAGTGTCAGCTGGCGGGCCTCGGGCAGACCCTGTAACCCCCGGCCCTGAGCTGGCGGCCAGGCCTGTCGCCTCCCTGCTGGGCTGTCTTGCCTCCTCCACTCCCACCCCTGCCCAAAGCGGGTTGTTGTCTGGCCCAGGGTCGTGGTGGAGGCTTCGGGGAGCCAGCCAGGTCCAGGTCAGGGCAGATGGGGGCTCACCTGGACTGTGGGAGGTCTGTTTTCACGCTCCACCGGAGGCCCCTGTGTGGGGGCTGCCCCCGTGCCCTAGCTGGGGGCGAGTGCAGCTGAGGAGGAGGTCAGGGCGCGTCCACCGGGAGAGAGGCCCCCGCTGTTTCCCTCGGGGGGGGGGCGGCGATCGTGTGGAAACGGCACCTGGTTTCCTGACGCTTCTCTCCACTCCCCATCTGAGCTGGTCTGGAGTCGTCGGTGCCTCGAGGAGGCTGGTCCTAGGGCAGCAGGTGGAGGGCAGAAGGCAGAGGGAGTGGCCCTGACCCTGCTGAGGGAGCCCGTCCTTCAGCAGAAGGGCCTCTCCAGCCCCTCCTCCAGGGGGGCTCACACAGACCCCGGCTCCAGAACATGCCTCTTGTGCGGCGTGGTGCTGCGTTCTGCCTCGCCCCTTGTTTCTCTGCCAAGATGAGGAGACGTTTATGGCTGATGGATCTGTTAGCGGACCCTGTAAGCATCTTTCGTGGAGGGCTGGGCTTGTGGGTTTGGGGGGCAGATAAATGGGCAGCCAGATAAAGGCATGTGAAGGCTGACCTCCCTGCCATCTGCACCTCTGGGATAGGCTGAGGGTGTCCTGAGTGATAGGTCAGAGGTGACTGGCTCCTCGTATCACCACCCAAAGGTTATTTTTTGGGATGGGGTGGTGAGTCATGATTGCTAGACTCTCCCCCAGAGTCAGAGACAGCTGGTGGTCTTTGGAGACGAGGGGCCTGTTGGTGGCCTGGAGTGGTCAGTCTTGGCAGCGTGAGGGGCCCACACCCAGCACAGGGCAGGCACAGCTGGGGCCACTGTGCCTGGAGGGGCTACCGGGAAGGGGACAGCTCGTACACAGCACAGCCCAGACTGACCAGCAAAACTCAGGATCTTAGAATTGCAACAATGGGCTGGGTGATAACCAAAAATTTCCTGGGAAAAGCTGCCCTAAGGTAACATATACAGATGACACCACCCTAATGGCAGAGAGCAAAGAGGAACTAAAGAGCCTCTTGATGAAAGTGAAAGAAGAGTGAAGAAGCTGGCTTAAAACTCAATATTCAAAAAACTAAGATCATGGCATCCATTCCCATCACTTCATGGCAAATAGATGGGGAAAAAGTGGAAACAGTGACAGACTTTATTTTCTTAGGCTCCAAAATCACTGTGGACGGTGACTGCAGCCACGAAATTAAAAGACGTTTTCTCCTTGGAAGAAAAGTTACAACAAACCTATACCCCGTATTAAAAAGAAGACATATCACTTTGCAGACAAACGTCCGTATAATCAAAGCTTTGGTTTTTCCAGTAGTCATGTATGGATGTGAGAGTTGGACTATGAAGAAACCTGAGCGCCGAAGAATTGATGCTTTCAAACTGTGGTGCTGGAGAAGACTCTTGAGAGTCCCTTGAACTGCAAGGAGATCCAACCAGTCCTTCCTAAAGGAAATCAGTCTTGAGTGTTCATTGGAAGGACTAATGCTGAAGCTGAAACTCCAATACTTTGGTCACCTGATGCAAAGAACCAACTCACTAGAAAAGACTCTGAAGTTGGGAAAGATTGAAGGCAGGAGAAGGGGACGGCAGAAGATGAGATGGTTGGATGGCATCACCAACTTGATGGACATGAATTTGAGCAAGCTCTGGCAGATCGTGAAGGACAGGGAAGCCTGGCATGCTGCAGTCCATGGGGTTACAAAGAGTTGGACATGACTTAGTGACTGAACAACAACAAAGATAACAGTGACTGCTAGAAGTTTATTTCTGTCTTAAAGAAGAAATCCGGGGGTAGGTGACCCTGAAGTGGTATCAGGACTCCAACTGCCCTCAAGATCCCGGGTCTCTCCTTGCTGCTTCCTCAGCAGTGGCTTCTGTCTGCAAGGTCAGCTTGTCTGCAGGAGTGCCAACCATCACGTCATCATCTCTGCACTGGTGAGCAGAGAAGGTGAAAGGGGAATGGGAAATGTAGCACTTTCCCCAGTTACCTGGTCCAATATTATGGAACCTTCCCTCAGGCACATCCCAATACTCTCCTGCTCTATCTCACTCTCACACTTAGCTGCTTGCCTGCAGATGAGGCTGCCCCCTTGGCTTCTGGGCGCAGGCCCCTCCCCACCCTGCCCAACCAGCGGTGGTTCTGTCCTTGAGCCCGGCCACCTGTCGCACGGTCACCAAGCCCTGACCTGCCCGGCCACCTGTCGCACGGTCACCAAGCCCTGACCTGCTGTGGTGAGGTCTGCACACAGGACGGGGCACAGCTACAGGCCATGGGCCCCTCTTCCAGGAGGCTCCCGGGTGTCCCTGATGGGCTGCCCCGGGGGGAAAGGGCGGGCTCTGGGGGCTGGGGGCACGCAGACACTTATTGGGGCCTGGCTCCTTCTGGTGCTGAGCTAAGAACTTAGAGGCATTTGTGAAGCTGTGCATTGACTGTGTTTAAGGTATTTTAACATAAAGGTGACTTTCTAGCCAATAAAAAGTTTGGAGAAAAGTAATGGGAAAATTTAGAGTGATATATGTTCAGTAAAGTTCCTCACGGCTTTGCTCATGATGGCAGACTTGGCACCGGGTTCAAGGATGGAGGCCAGGTAGGCGGACTGCACCCCAGCTGCAGACCGGGCGACATCAGATATTCAGAAGCATGGGTACTGCTGTGCGCTGGGTGAGAGGAGCAGGCCCGCAGGCGAGGTTCTCGGTGCGATTCCCTGCAGGCACCAGAGACGTGCGGACGTCAGCCCCGCAGCGGGGACGAAGGGCGACTTTTATCATCGTCTGTCGTCCTTTTTATTACCTGTTTCCAATTATTCCTAAAACGAAAACCCACTGCTTGTGTAATAAAAGATACTCAAAGGGATCAGGAAAAGAGGCCCATTTCTCATTTCTCTGAGACAAGCCCAGTTGCCATGGAGACTGGGTGGTTGTCAAGGCGGCGATTGGCCAGTACTGGAGGCGGGTGGGTGCTCGCCTGGAGCCTGAGCCAGCGCAGCCCTCAGACCGCACTGCGGACCCAGCAACAGCATGGACGGGGCGGACGTGTGGGCCAAGACCTTGGCCCAGCTGATGGCCCAGACGAAGCCCCAGGACACCTGGGAGCTGGTCCCCCAGGAGAACCTGGCCTCGGGGCACCTGGACAGCAGTGGTTTCCAGTACCGGCTTCGGGGGCTCTCGAGGTGTGGCGGGGGGCCCCTGTGGGGTCCCAGGAGGCAGGGGGTGAGGGTTGGGGTGGGGTGGAAAGGTTACCTCACCACCAGCCAGGGCCGGGTGTGGCCTGGCCCTTGAGGGAGGCAGAAGCGGGCATATGTCTGCCTGGCCTTGGCACCCAACAGGCGGGTGGGCAGGCCGGGAGCTCCCTGTCCCTTCCGGGCAGCCGGGGATGTTGGGGGAGCAGTGTGTCCGTTACCTGCAGTGCAGGCAGCTGAGTCCCTGCCTGCTGGGCACCCCCAGGCCAGCCGGGGGCCCGGCCCAGGGGCGGTTGGCACGGAGTGGGGCGGGGAATGGCCGCCCGCCTGTGGCGGACTTTGTTCACCGCAGCATCTCCTTGTTTCCATGGCGGCGCTGACAGCAGGAGCAGGGTGGGTCTCTGCCCTGCCCTGCAGAGGGTCTGAGCAGATGGACTGGGATTGGGCCCAAGAGGGAGGAGGTGGTCCCGGCCTGGGCTGTGGCTGAGCCGGGGCCACGTCGGGGGCCCCGGGGACTGTGGGTCATCACGTGAACTGTGCCCTTCCTCATGAGTACAGCCAATGTCAGACAAGCAGACACAGCCCAGACCAGCCGCAGGGTCTCCCAGGGGCCAGCCGGGAGGGGGCCGGCGGGAGAGGGGGCCATGTGGACCCCCGTGGGCAGCTGTCCTTTGACACAGATGCCCCCGCTCCCCAGCATCTGAAGCGTTGGGGGTCAGGAGTGTGGTGAGAGGCTGGCTTTCCCAGGTGTCAGCAAGTGACGGCATCGGGGGCTCCTTCCCACCCATAATTGTCCCCCCGGAGGAGCCGTCGCACACGGGCTGCACAAGCACCCTGAACATTGGTTGGATTTTGGTTTTCACCGACACAGACGCGCCAGCTGGTGGGACGGTCACTAGTGCAGACCCATGTCTCCACGTCCAGCCATGACGCGCTGCTTAATTAACAAAGGAGGAAGCTCCGTCCCAAGGACACCAGGCGTGTCCAGGTGCTCCCCAGCCATGCGTAGCCGGAGGCTGCAGGTGGGGGTGTGGGGGGCGGGAAGCCCACCATCAGGGGACGTTCCGGTGGATTGGCCTGGGGGTCACTCAATTGGAGAGAGGGGGATACAGGGCCTTGGCCTCTGGAGCAGCACCGTTGCAGGTGAGGGTTGGACGCCCAGTCCCGGGAGGGCACTGGCCCAGGGCCACAGGGCCACCCAGCCTCCCGGCCCCCCCCCCCATTTCTCCCTGCACCCCTCATGGCCCCTCTCCTGGGGCACAGGCTCCCCCTTTCTGCAGCCCCCCTGCCCTGCCCCCTGGGCACGACAGATGGCCCTCACTCCCACGGGGTCCTGCTGGGGTCTCCTAGGGGCGCTGAGACCCTCGGTCGCGAGGACAGAGCAGCAGCAGAAGTAGCGCTGAGCCCGGAAGGGCCCAGGCAGCATGCTTGGCCACCCGGGGCGTGTTGGGGCCAAAGGATGGAAGGCCTCTGCTTGGGCGCCTCAGGCTGGGGGGCCGCGGGGGCGCGCAGGGACAGGCCGCGGGGCCTCGGGGGCGCGCAGGGACAGGCCGCGGGGCCTCGGGGGCGCGCACGGACAGGCCGCGGGGCCTCGGGGGCGCGCAGGGACAGGCCGCGGGGCCTCGGGGGCGCGCAGGGACAGGCTGTGGGGCCTCGGGGGTGCGCAGGGCAGGCGGGCCGAGCCCTCGCCCACTCGCCTCTTTCCTCCACAGGCTCCAGTGCGGCCGCTGCCAGTGGGGCTGGGCCTCAGCCCACGTGCACGTGCTCTTCCACCTGTGGTGGGACGAGGCCAGTCGGCGCGGGCTGGTCAAGATGCGGGTCTGGGGCCAGCGGTGCCTGTGGTGCCCGCCCGGAGGGGCCGAGTGCCGCGTCAGCCTGCTGAACGTGCGCCTCTTCCTGGGCAAGCTGGTGCGGTTCATTGCGCAAAAGTGCTACGCAGAGGGTCCCGGCTCCGACCAGGGCCCCGAGGTCTGCTTTGGCGAGCACTGTGAGGCCTGCGACCTGGGGGTCTGCTTTTTCCAGCAGCTGCCTGACCCCGCCTGGGGGCCCGAGGGCAGGAGCCCCGGCAGCATCAAGGGCAGGTTCACCTTGTACTCCAGTGGCGACGAAGCTGCCCCCGCTGCCGACAGGCAGCTGCGCACGCTGGGCCGGGGGCCGCTAGTCGACCGCCCCGGGGGCTGCACCCCCAACGCCATCGCCGTTCCCCTGTACGCAGCCGACTTCATCAGGAGCCCCATCGCCGAGGGCAGGGACTTCTGCGGCCAGGCCGAGGAGGTCATCACCATCCCCTTCTCCCTCGGGCGCAGGGCCCGGGGGCTGGCAGGTGAGCCCGCAGGCGGGCGGCACATCATCGGCAGGGGCTCCCTCTACCTGCCCGCCAGCTCCAAGGCCACGTCCAAGGGCAGACGCTTCCCGGTGAACATCAAAGCCCCCGTCTTCCACGGCAAGGGGCTCCTGCTCAGTGGCGCGAAGGCAACCACGGGCTTCATCTACAAAGGGCTCGGCTGCGTGTCTGAACCCGACGAGGGCGAGGACGGGGATGAGGACGAGGATGGGGACACCGACTGGGGCGCCCGGTCCAGCAGCACCAGGCTTGTCCCGGCTGGAGCCAGCCCGCGGCCCATGACCTACATCGTCGGCCTCATGGACAGTGGGGGGGGCTCGGTCACCTTCCCCTCCTCTTTGACTGACGTGCTCCTGGAAGACGCCGACCCGTTCGACCTGGTCCACGGCTCCCTCACCTTCCCGTTCATGTTTGCCTACGAGGGCCGAGCGGTGGCCTCCTCTGCCAGCGGCCCTGAAGGCAGAGGGCAGGTGGCTGGTGGCTGCAGCCCCCCTGCCGCGGGCCGTGAGCGCCTCCTGGGGACCGATGCGGGCAGCTGGGTGCCCCTGGGCGAGGGCTCCATCACTGTCCCCTTCTCTATCTTCAGTGTTATCCAAAGCAAGAGCTCCGGGAGCAAGGCCAGGGGCCCTCAAGGCGATGGCCTGGTGCCCTGGGGCTCGTCCAAGAAGCCGAAGCAACCGGGGCCCTGGGCGGCCAGGTTCCGCCTTCCGCCCCCCGGGGACGAGGGCTTCTGCTGGGCTGAGGGCTTCTGCTTCGACCCCTACGAAGAGGTCTGGATCTGGGTCTCACTGGCCGTTTGCGTCCTCTGGATAATGTACCTCTGCAAGTTCAGCCCCGACCGCTCCCCATGGGTATGAAGGGCGGCGCCTCCTGTCGGTCCCCTGGGGGACCCCCTCCAGGGGTGCTGCCTGGGCGCCTGGCAAGCAGCGACCCCCGGCCCCGGCTGCCCCGCCCGCCTCGCTTCCGTGTTCCATCTCCGCGGTGAGTCCTGGTGTTGTGGGCGCTCACGCCGTGACCACTCCCCGAGCTGATGGTGTGTGTCCCAGGCGCTCTGAACGTGAGTTACACTCCAATAAATGAGTTAAGAGGCAGCTGCCACACGGCCTCCCGCTGAGCTGAGGGTGTGCAGGGGAGGGCGGTGGGCACAGGGCAGCCGACTCCTGGGGCCCCGGTTCCACCGTGACCCTTTCCTGCGGTGCCACTGGATCTCTGGACGTGATGCTTGGGCCGGTTCAGCACAAGCTGCGGGTGGGGAGACCAACACCACCTCCTCAGGAAGATGAAAGTCCCTCCAGGTGTGGTTGGTGAGCCCCCCTCACCCCCGGGCTCAGGAGCTGAGGAGGCACCTTCCCTGAGTGAGTGGCAGGGGCCCACTCAGCACCTTACCAGAATTTTGTTCATGGTTCCCGGGAACATTTTCATCCACAGCTCTTTTCAAGAAGCGCCATCCGCTTGAGGTTCCTTGTGTCTACACCCTGGATTCCCATCTTAATGGCCCAGGATCCAGTTCTAAGGGGCAGGGCTGTTGGGCCATGTGGGTCCCAGGCAGCAGGGGATGACCGCTGGCAGCTGGGCGGGGTCACCCTGTCCCTCCCCTCACACAGACTGGCCCCAGGGCCCTGGGGGGCTCCGGAATGTCTGGAGGGCCTTGGGGTCCGAGACTTGGGTCCCCGGTCGGATGGGAGGTTTGGGAAGGCCTGCCTTGTGGGGAGGGGTAGGTGGCCAGACTCTTTGCTGCAGGGCCCTCTGTCCACATGGGCCAGGGTGGATCTGGGAGATTCTGCCCTTGGGCCGACTCTAGGTGAGGGGGAAGGTTGGGGAGGGCTCCCCACAGAGGGGCTGCCTGGAAGGAGGGGAGGGAGTGGGCTTTGATGTCAGCATCCTGCCCAAAGGGACCCCACATCACACCAGAGCGCAGAAGGCTCCAAGCCATGTGGATGGCCACAAGGCACCGGACCTGAAGCTTGACACTCACAGCTGAGTAGAGCCTGCCAGGACCGCGGCCAGGCCCCCGTCATCCCTGACACGCTAACCACTGTGGCAGGACATGACTCCAGAGTTCTGTCTACACTGGGTGAGACCTCACTCCTAGGGCTGGATCGACCCTCCCAATCTCAGGGTCTGTCTACACTGGGTGAGACCCCTCTCCCAGGGCAGGATCCACCCTCCCCCCTGAGTGCTCTGTCTACACTGGGTGAGACCCCTCTCCCAGGGCAGGATCCACCCTCTCCCCTGAGTGCTCTGTCTACACTGGGTGAGACCCCTCTCCCAGGGCAGGATCCACCCTCTCCCCCTGAGTGCTCTGTCTACACTGGGTGAGACCCCTCTCCCAGGGCAGGATCCACCCTCCCCCCTGAGTGCTCTGTCTACACTGGGTGAGACCCCTCTCCCAGGGCAGGATCCACCCTCTCCCCCCTGAGTGCTCTGTCTACACTGGGTGAGACCCCTCTCCCAGGGCAGGATCCACCCTCTCCCCTGAGTGCTCTGTCTACACTGGGTGAGACCCCTCTCCCAGGGCAGGATCCACCCTCTCCCCTGAGTGCTCTGTCTACACTGGGTGAGACCCCTCTCCCAGGGCAGGATCCACCCTCTCCCCCTGAGTGCTCTGTCTACACTGGGTGAGACCCCTCTCCCAGGGCAGGATCCACCCTCCCCCCCCTGAGTGTCCTGTCTACACTGGGTGAGACCCCTCTCCCAGGGCAGGATCCACCCTCTCCCCCCTGAGCGTCCCGTCTACACTGGGTGAGACCCCTCTCACAGGGCAGGATCCACCCTCCCCTCTGAGTGCTCTGTCTACACTGGGTGACACCCCTCTCCCAGGGCAGGATCCACCCTCCCCCCTGAGTGCTCTGTCTACACTGGGTGAGACCCCTCTCCCAGGGCAGGATCCACCCTCTCCCCCTGAGTGCTCTGTCTACACTGGGTGAGATCCCTCTCCCAGGGCAGGATCCACCCTCCCCCCTGAGTGCTCTGTCTACACTGGGTGACACCCCTCTCCCAGGGCAGGATCCACCCTCCCCCCTGAGTGTTCTGTCTACACTGGGTGACACCCCTCTCCCAGGGCAGGATCCACCCTCCCCCCTGAGTGCTCTGTCTACACTGGGTGAGACCCCTCTCCCAGGGCAGGATCCACCCTCTCCCCCCTGAGTGCTCTGTCTACACTGGGTGACACCCCTCGCCCAGGGCAGGATCCACCCTCCCCCCTGAGTGCTCTGTCTACACTGGGTGAGACCCCTATCCAAGGGCAGGATCCACCCTCCCCTCTGAGTGCTCTGTCTACACTGGGTGAGACCCCTCTCCCAGGGCAGGATCCACCCTCCCCTCTGAGTGCTCTGTCTACACTGGGTGACAACCCTCTCTCAGGGCAGGATCCACCCTCTCCCCCTGAGTGCTCTGTCTACACTGGGTGACACCCCTCTCCCAGGGCAGGATCCACCCTCTCCCCCTGAGTGCTCTGTCTACACTGGGTGAGATCCCTCTCCCAGGGCAGGATCCACCCTCCCCCCTGAGTGCTCTGTCTACACTGGGTGACACCCCTCTCCCAGGGCAGGATCCACCCTCTCCCCCTGAGTGCTCTGTCTACACTGGGTGAGATCCCTCTCCCAGGGCAGGATCCACCCTCCCCCCTGAGTGCTCTGTCTACACTGGGTGACACCCCTCTCCCAGGGCAGGATCCACCCTCCCCCCTGAGTGCTCTGTCTACACTGGGTGACACCCCTCTCCCAGGGCAGGATCCACCCTCCCCCCTGAGTGTCCTGTCTACACTGGGTGAGACCCCTCTCCCAGGGCAGGATCCACCCTCCCCCCTGAGTGCTCTGTCTACACTGGGTGAGACCCCTCTCCCAGGGCAGGATCCACCCTCCCCCCCGAGTGCTCTGTCTACACTGGGTGAGACCCCTCTCCCAGGGCAGGATCCACCCTCCCCCCTGAGTGCTCTGTCTACACTGGGTGAGACCCCTCTCCCAGGGCAGGATCCACCCTCCCCCCTGAGTGCTCTGTCTACACTGGGTGAGACCCCTCTCCCAGGGCAGGATCCACCCTGCCCCCACTGAGTGTCCTGTCTACACTGGGTGAGACCCCTCTCCCAGGGCAGGATCCACCCTGCCCCCCTGAGTGTCCTGTCTACACTGGGTGAGACCCCTCTCCCAGGGCAGGATCCACCCGCCTCTCTGAGTGCTCTGTCTACACTGGGTGAGACCCCTCTCCCGGGGCAGGATCCACCCTCCCCCCCTGAGTGCTCTGTCTACACTGGGTGAGACCCCTCTCCCAGGGCAGGATCCACCCTCTCCCCCTGAGTGCTCTGTCTACACTGGGTGACACCCCTCTCCCAGGGCAGGATCCACCCTCCCCCCTGAGTGCTCTGTCTACACTGGGTGAGACCCCTCTCCCAGGGCAGGATCCACCCTCCCCCCTGAATGCTCTGTCTACACTGGGTGAGACCCCTCTCCCAGGGCAGGATCCACCCTCCCCCCTGAGTGCTCTGTCTACACTGGGTGAGACCCCTCTCCCAGGGCAGGATCCACCCTCTCCCCCTGAGTGCTCTGTCTACACTGGGTGAGACCCCTCTCCCAGGGCAGGATCCACCCTCTCCCCCTGAGTGCTCTGTCTACACTGGGTGACACCCCTCTCCCAGGGCAGGATCCACCCTCCCCCCTGAGCGTCCCGTCTACACTGGGTGAGACCCCTCTCCCAGGGCAGGATCCACCCTCTCCCCCTGAGTGTTCTGTCTACACTGGGTGAGACCCCTCTCCCAGGGCAGGATCCACCCTCTCCCCCTGAGTGTCCTGTCTACACTGGGTGACACCCCTCTCCCAGGGCAGGATCCACCCTCCCCCCTGAGTGCTCTGTCTACACTGGGTGAGACCCCTCTCCCAGGGCAGGATCCACCCTCCCCTCTGAGTGCTCTGTCTACACTGGGTGACACCCCTCTCTCAGGGCAGGATCCACCCTCCCCCCCGAGTGCTCTGTCTACACTGGGCGACACCCCTCTCTCAGGGCAGGATCCACCCTCTCCCCCTGAGTGCTCTGTCTACACTGGGTGACACCCCTCTCCCAGGGCAGGATACACCCGCCCCCCCTGAGTGCTCTGTCTACACTGGGTGACACCCCTCTCCCAGGGCAGGATCCACCCGCCCCCCCTGAGTGCTCTGTCTACACTGGGTGACACCCCTCTCCCAGGGCAGGATCCACCCTCCCCCCCCTGAGTGCTCTGTCTACACTGGGTGACACCCCTCTCCCAGGGCAGGATCCACCCTCCCCCCCCGAGTGCTCTGTCTACACTGGGTGAGACCCCTCTCCCAGGGCAGGATCCACCCTCTCCCCCTGAGTGTCCTGTCTACACTGGGTGACACCCCTCTCCCAGGGCAGGATCCACCCTCCCCCCTGAGTGCTCTGTCTACACTGGGTGACACCCCTCTCCCAGGGCAGGATCCACCCTCCCCCCTGAGTGCTCTGTCTACACTGGGTGAGACCCCTATCCAAGGGCAGGATCCACCCTCCCCCCTGAGTGCTCTGTCTACACTGGGTGAGACCCCTCTCCCAGGGCAGGATCCACCCTCTCCCCCCTGAGTGCTCTGTCTACACTGGGTGAGACCCCTCTCCCAGGGCAGGATCCACCCTCTCCCCTGAGTGCTCTGTCTACACTGGGTGAGACCCCTCTCCCAGGGCAGGATCCACCCTCTCCCCTGAGTGCTCTGTCTACACTGGGTGAGACCCCTCTCCCAGGGCAGGATCCACCCTCTCCCCCTGAGTGCTCTGTCTACACTGGGTGAGACCCCTCTCCCAGGGCAGGATCCACCCTCCCCCCCCTGAGTGTCCTGTCTACACTGGGTGAGACCCCTCTCCCAGGGCAGGATCC